TTCAAAAATATAAAATAAATTTTCATGAAATACTGATTGGAACACAAGACCCGGCAGCGTGTTTGATTGCAACGCTACAATGGTATCCACAATCAAACACCCTATGTCCACAGTTAAATACTTTGTTGGGTCTGACTAGGAGGTAGGGCCAGCACTATTGATACTTTCTAGAAGTGTGGTGAATCTGAATTATAGACAAGACCCAATAATATTAAGTCTGGCTACCAAAGTCAGACCTAGTGGCTTATGGCAGAGAAAACAACGCTTCCAGTTGCAATTCTCGACTAAAAACAAGGGTGTTGGGTTCTACTGGCACCGGCACCCAATGACATTGAATTCTGCTCAACCCATTAAAGTTAGGTCATGCCTTAAAAAGTTAGTCATGCCTCAAGTAGGACCTAAGAGGTGGGAGCGTTGCCTTCTTTACTAAAAATTATTAGGTCTAGCTTAATAGGCCGACCAACGCTCAAGTCAAACCCAAAATACTTCTAAGAAATGCCGAAGTTTTGGATCTTTCCTTATAGCAAGGCTCAATGTTAATTTGTTTAATTTTTAATTTTTAAAATAACTTTAAAACATTCAAACTCATGAAATTGGAGAAATTGAAAATTTTTAATTTTTTGATTTACTTTAAATTAATATATTTTTATATTATTTTTTAATAGTTTTTTTAAAAAATATTAAGATTATGTCTGATGATTGCGAAGTGAGAACTGGAAAATTTGAAAATTTTAATTTTTTTTTTATTTCAAAATAATTTTTTTATAAAAATATATTGATATTATGTTTGGTTACGAAACGAGACCCAAGAAATTTAAACATTTTAATTTTTTTTCTTTATTTAAATATATTTTTTAATATATATATATATAAACGAGACTCATGAAATTTAAAAATTTTAAATTTCTTTTTATTTAAAATAATTTTAAAATATATATATATATGACCAGGAAATTTAAAAATTTTAATTTGTTTTTCTAATTAATATTTTGATATGATTATATAAAAAAATATATTTTAAAAAATAAAAAATATTATCTTGATATATTTTTTAAAAACTATTTAAAGTTATTTCTAATTTTATTTTTTTCTTTAATTTTTTTTTTTTTTTTGCAGCTGCAGGATCCAATTGCATGGCCCAAAATAATTCTAGGTCCTATTGATACAAAGCTAAAATTGCTTTGGATCCTGACGTATACAAGACCCAACACAGCAATGGATCCTGCTGGTGCAGCCTACAAACTTTGAAAGCTATCTAGATTCATGAGCAGTTTCTTAGGGCCCGATCAAAAACCATAATCCGAGTTGAATGAAAAAAAAAGATTGGAGTTATTCAAGGAAAAGTAAAGACTGAAAATGCACACATATCTATCAATCATATCTAATTATATTCCAAACCTAGCAATCATATCTAATTAAATTTCTTTGTTTTTGCCTTCTCTTATTTAATTTTTTTTTTTTAAATAAATTGATGAAATTTTTTTATATTATATAAAAATTAGATGATAATAATTTTTCATTTCAGATTGGATTAAATTTTCTAATTAAATCATGTTTGATTTTTCTTTTTGAAAATTCTTTTTAAAAAAATTTGACAATTTTTAAGTTTTTTTCTTTATTTCAAATTAGTATTTTTGTTATGTTTTTGTATTATTGTTTTTTTTTTTAAAATATGTTGAGATTCTGCGTCAGACCCAATAAATTTTAAAATTTTTAATTTTTTCCTTACTTCAAAATAATATCCCCCTCGTGTTTTTTATTATTTAAAAAAATATATATTGATACTGTGTCTGGCTGAGAGACGAGACTCAAGAATTTGAAATTCTTTTTATTTTTTGCTTTACCTCACTTTATAAATAAGGACTCAACAACATTGAATCTCAAAACTAGGATCCAAAAACATTGGACGCTATTTACCACCATGGCTTAACATCCAATTGGGCTTTTCTACAACTAGGATCCACTATTTTTGGATTTTTTTTTAACCCAGACTCAGCAGCTTGGACCATGCCCAAAACAAAACCCAACACTCTAGATCCTACTAGAAGATCAGGGCCGACGGCAGTGGGTGGATTTTTTTCATTCAAAATTTAAGCTCGTAATTAATTTAAAATAAATTAATCAACTTATTGGATTAACCCAAAACTCTAGTGATATAGGAAAAATATGAAGGAGTCTTTTTTTTTTTCAAATATGTTTTTTCTTCTATCCTAACTCTTTGTTTTTTCATATTTTTTAAATAAAAAAATAACATGACAGGTTAAAAAACCCAAAAAAAATTTGTTGAAGAGTTTCTTTTTATAAATTATAATTATTTGACCTGGGATGAAGTGGGAGTCGCTAATAATGAAACTATAATATGATGCGTCCATTTATGTATTTACTTTGATAGAGGACACATTTTTAATATATCACAGTGAAGGTGATTTCCATTCATCATCATTGATAATTAATAGTGTCACCATTTTTTCTTGGTAGATTACTTGAATTTCTTTCGGTAAGGGGTAAACTGAAGCTATTTGGTAATTTTTTTTATTTGTCAAGTTGATAGTATTGTAATGGATACGTTTGTCTAGAAACTCTTATGTTGGAACAACCGTTTAAAAAGGAAAATATGTTCTTCTAGATTAATCATAACTTGATTAATAATCTTGTTCTCGTAATTCTTTTTTTACTAAATTTCATATTGAAAATCTAGTTATTGCATCCCATTTTATTTATTTATTTATTTTATTTATGTATTTGTGTGACTATGATTTGCTTCTGAAAGCAACGTTTTCCATTGGGGTGAAACTTTAAGGGCTTCTGATTTTATCATGTTAGTCATTACCTTTCTTTATAAGAGTATATAAATAATAGTTATTACTTTAATATTGTCTACCTAAAATTCATGTTAAGTGTTTGAATATTCACAGTGTATTTGTTTTTGCAATTAAAAAGTGTTTTTTATATTTTATATATATATATATATTTGGATTGTTTAGATATATTGATATTAAAAATAATTTTTAAAAAAATAAAAAATATTATTTTTATATATTTCTAAATAAAATATATTTTAAAAAACAATTGTCAATCTCAAACATTAAATTAATAACAAAATATTAGAGTCAAATTATAAAAGTACATCTTCAAGATTAAATTCCATGACTACAAGCAATGATTTAAAAAATATTATATATTGTATCCCTTAAGCACAAGGGTATAGGTGTGTTTGTGCCAAGTTGAAAGAATAACTCCATAGTTATTTTTATATTTTAAAAATATTTTTGATTTTTTTATTTCAAATTAAATATATTTTTTAATATTTTTAAATCATTTTAATGAATTAATTTTAAAAATAATTTTTTTAAAAATATATTATTTTAATAGATTTTTAAATAAAAAAACTATAATATTAACATGCTTTCCTACAACTTTATTTAATCCTATATGTAGAAACTTGTGTTTGTCTTTTAAATGGTGTTTAACAGATTATGCTCAAAATGTTTTTATAGTTTCGTGTTTTTCAACAAGTGAAGATTAATAATAAATAAAAATGAAATTGAGCAAACTAAGCTAAAAGTAAAAATTAAGATATTTAACATTATGGTAATTTATCTTGTTATATTTAATTACTTTTTTAATTAAAATAAATTTTTAATAGAAAAACATATAAAATTTCTAATAGAAACTGACATGCATATAAAATTTACCGAATAGTAATTAAAAAAACAATGTAACGTTACACATATAAAAAATTAATATTAAAAAAATTAAATCTATATAAAATTTAAAAAAAATCACAAATGAATTATACATGCATCTTAATAAATTAAATACACTTAATATCATTTAAAAATAATTATAGACTAATTAAAATATAAATCTAAAATTTATTTTAAAAAATATACACAAATATGTATTACTTTTAAAAAAATAAAAATCATAATAACAATAACAATAATCAGGTCAGGTCGTTGAGACCTTGTAAACCAAGCCTAGAGCTTGGCCCAATAAAACAACGACCTGTATAAGAGCTTTTGTTTTTTTAAAAAAAGTTTAATGGAGTGTTCATCTATCCCAAGCATATAAAAAAAAAAATATATTATTTGTGCAGTCACAGTCAAAGCTTGAACAAAACGAGGTCTTTTAGTTTTCTACTCAAAAATTCATTTTGATCTAGAATGCTTTAGAAACCTTATTAAATCAATCAATGATTATCAAAAACCTAAGAAACTACCCCAAAACTTGAAATTCATCTAAAATAAAATAAAAAAAATCTGAATTTAAATATGTTTTTTTAGATGTTTTTAAAATAAAAAAATACTTAAATATAACTTTTTTTTGTTATTATATATGAAATATTTTTATATAAAAATTAATTATTTTTGTGCTTGTAATCTTTCTCAATGTCCACTTTTTCTTTCTAAGTTAGAATCTGGTGACATCCTTTCTCTTTTTCTAATAAAAAAACTAAAAAAATAAAATAAATTTAAATATTAAAATATATTTTCTTATAATTCAAAGAACATGTCATTTAATATCCAAAGAAGATGATAATTAAAATAAATATATTAATAAAAGTTTTAAACCCCCCTTTATGTTACATGTTTCTCAAGACCTTCATTTCAGTACCTTACCTTTTAATTCAACCCTCCATCTTAAAAAATATATAATTTTAGGTTAATTTAAGTTAAAAAAAAATTAAATGATGCAAAATAAAAATTAAAGAATAAAGTAAAAATTAAAAAAAAAAATACATTATAGCAATTCACAATATATTATAAAAAGTGATAAACAATAGTTTTAAAAACTGATCTTTTTTTGATATATTGTATAATATAATTATATTAATATTTTTCAAAAGTATTATTTTAAAAATGTAGTAAAATATTTTTTCTTATTTTTAATATTAACAAATTAAAATTATAAAAAGAACTAGAAAATTGAACTTTTAAAACTCACCCCACGCAGTTTTTTAAAAAAACAAAACAAACGTTGCCGTGGGTGGCTCCTAAAGAAAGAGAGAGAGAAAGAGGGCAGAGGAAGGCGGGAAAGCAAAGAAGAGGAGAGGAGAGGAGAGGAGAGTAGGAGAAATCGGGAATGGGGGTGAACGAGAGATACACACAATGGAAGACTTTGGTCCCTGTCCTCTACGATTGGCTCGCTAATCACAACCTCGTCTGGCCCTCTCTTTCTTGCCGGTCTCTCTCTCCTTTCTCTTTTTTTAGGGTTTGGACTTTATTTTATTTTTTCTTTATTCATGTTATATAATAAAATAACTGTAAAAGCAAAATCATTTTTTTCGATTCCTATTACATTGCCGAGAAAATTGAGGGTGACATTTTCGGTGATTTTATTTGGGTTTAGATATGTTAATGAGGGTTGCCGGATGGTAGAGCAAGAAAAAGAGAGTCAAGCTCCTTAGCCCTCTCTAGGACTCGACTTGCTATCTTATTTTTCTTTCTTCTGAGAAGCTACTTTAGGGAGAGCCGATGGAGATGATAAAATGAGGCTGATAGCGTGTTCTCTTATCCTATAGGTTTTTTTTTTTGGAGGGTTATATCACTATAGGGTAGCTAATCCTGGTCTTCTGCCTGCTGGCAGGGAGGGAAATGAAATTCTTTGTTTATTGAGAAATGCTTCTAGGGACTCTTTCACGAGCAGGGGACCTCTGTATAGCTAATCCTGGTCTTCTGCCTGCTGGCAGGGAGGGAAATGAAATTCTTTGTTTATTGAGAAATGCTTCTAGGGACTCTTTCACGAGCAGGGGACCTCTGTATAGTTCATGTAGATTGACATGCTCAAATGCATGAGCATTTTTTGTAGAAATAGTTTTAATTTTCAAATGCAAGGTGATTAATCCTTTACCTGACTTGTTTTTAACTGACAGATGGGGTCCACAGCTTGAGCAAGCTACTTACAAGAATCGTCAGCGCTTGTACCTCTCTGAACAGGCAAGATTGTTAATGTTATTGAAGTTGCCAAATGCCTGAGATTCATCATTTTACGTATTAGGCATCGTAATGTTGTATGTGAGCTTGTCCATGTTGATGTATTCTGTTCATGGATTGTTGATTTGTTCCACTATCTTTTATTCAGACAGATGGCAGTGTTCCAAATACTCTGGTCATTGCTAACTGCGAAGTTGTTAAACCAAGGGTTGCAGCTGCAGAACACATATCACAGGTGATGTCTTTATGATTTGTTATTTTCTTTGTTCCTTTCACTTTGAATTTTTACCCCTTCATCCCTTTCTTTTTACTGATTGTATGCATTGTTGGTTGGTTGCTTGATCTTTCAGTTCAATGAGGAAGCGCGCTCTCCCTTTGTAAAGAAGTACAAAACTATCATACACCCTGGCGAGGTACCTATCCTGTCTTAGTACTTTCTTTTACTTACCCATCTCCTTGTAGCATGACTTATCAATTTGAAACAGGAACTAAGTTCTATAAATTGTGAATGCTAGAAAAGGTATACTGGTCGCAAGATTTGTAATTTGCACCTAATGTTTCCAAGGGTTATTCATCAGTGTGAAACTTGGATTCATGTGATTTTGGGAAATGATACGCTTCACTTTCCTGAGAAGGAAATGATCCCAAAGAGGAAGAAGTTAAAAGCCTCATATGAAAATTCAATTTAATTTGTAAGGTTAGATCCTTTTAATTGAGAACTCCATTTAGTTTCATTAGCTCTAGTTTGAAGTGCAGAAATCACAGTTGAAAGTGTAACCTTCTTATAGCTTGGTTACCTAAACATCTGCATATCTATTATTGAATTACTGTGATAAGAAAATATTCAAACGTTTGAGCACAGTTGAGATATATGATGCTCCACAAGCACATTTGCTTTATTGAGTGAAAACTTGAAAAATATCTCATCTTTATTATTATAACTTCTGTTGTGAATTGCTCAATTCATGGAGCCTTGTGTTAAGTAAAACTGTCATAGCATGATGAATCCTTTCATGAAGGGGTTGATAGAGGGAGGTACATTCCACAAGGTGCCTGGGATTTATTTAGGATGAAAAAGAATTACAATATTTCATGACTTTGATACTGATAATTACAGTTTAATGACAGAATAGCTTGTTGCTTTTGTTAAGGAGGAAAATGAAAGATTCTTATGCTGTAGATAAAACCAAATATGAAAGGGACTTTGCAGCTTAGGCTACAAACATGTCACTGATGTGTTTATTTGTTGTCTCCCTACTACTTTTCTCTTCTCTTTCTATTATTTCTTCACCCCATGCTTTTCCTTTTTCTCCCTTTATATGGTTCTCAGGATTTCTCATTTTTGATATCTGAAAGAATTATTTGGAAAGCATTTAAGGTGTTCCAATGAGTTACCTTCCTGGTTTTTTTTTAATTCATTGGGGTAATTATTTTACTTTTTGAGATAGAATCCTCCAACTTTACTTTTCTGCTCCTCGGTCTTCAATATTGCTTGGAAATAATATTTTGTATTTTTTGTTTGGAAAATATTGCTTATATGAGATGTTAATCAGCTAACATAATCTTCTAAGTTGTTCCCATCTTTCAATGGAAGTATAGTGGAGGATACTTCAGTAATCCTCAAATTTTGTATTTCTGTTTTTTGCTTTTCCAGGTGAACAGAATCAGGGAACTCCCACAGAACACCAACATTGTGGCTACACACACCGATAGTCCTGATGTAATCATTTAGTTACCTTTCAAAAAAAAAAAATCAAGAGTTTTAAGCATTTAGTTACCGCTCAAATAAAAAAAAAAATTGATAGTTTTAATTGCACAGTTTTTCCAATTTAAATTGTCTGCATCTTTGAGCAGGTTCTCATTTGGGATGTTGATTCTCAACCTAATCGTCATGCTGTCCTGGGAGCTACAGAGTCTTGTCCGGATCTGGTTATTCCTGGCCCAGTGATTTTTTCTTTTTCTTTTTAATCCTTTTATAACACTATACTAGTTAAATATATTAAATAATTGTCACAATCCTTTTATAACCATTTTCTATGACATTTGTTACCGCATGTGTATTCCAGAATATACATGGTTGATTAGAAAATTAATTTTTGTAATTGTATTTATCATTGGCACAATTCTTTGACAACCATGTTGATTTTCAGTAAAGTTTTGTTGTTCTTTTAAATTAAGGCACTTGTTTAATGAGATACATCTTCTTGCAGATATTGACTGGCCATAAAGACGATGCTGAATTCGCTCTTGCTATGTGTCCAACTGAGCCCTTTGTGCTCTCTGGAGGTTGGAATTTAGTTTTAGTTTTTTTCTTTCAGTTCATTAGATTCTCTAACAAAATATTAATTAAGCAATTTACTCATTTTTCACATATCATAACTATGGTTGTGTGAATTCAATTTCATAAAGAAATTAAACTTTTCTACACTAGTGTTGATATGCAACTCACTTTTCGTTGGAATTTAGTTTTAGTTTTTTTCTTTCAGTTCATTAGATTCTCTAACAAAATATTAATTAAGCAATGTACTCATTTTTCACATATCATAACTATGGTTGTGTGAATTCAATTTCATAAAGAAATTAAACTTTTCTACACTAGTGTTGATATGCAACTCACTTTTCCTGTTGTGTTTTTTGTTGTTTGTTGGCAACTGCATTAATTAGAGTTCTCATAATCTTTTCTGTTCGGGAAAATTTTTGTTTCAGGTAAGGACAAGTTGGTGGTCTTGTGGAGTATTCAGGACCATATTTCAACTTTGGCGGCAGAGCCAGGGTTGTCAAAATCTCCTGGATCTGGTAGCTTCCCTAATAAATCCGCCTCTAAGGCAGGTGGAGGTAATGACAAACGTACAAAGAGTCCTTCCATTGGACCACGGGATGTCTACCAAGGGCATACAGATACTGTTGAAGATGTTCAATTCTGCCCATCAAGGTAGGTCCTGTAATCTTAATCAAATGTGTTTAGCCAAGCAATCATGCATTTTTCACTTGTGTAATCATTATCTGCCATTTGGCAGGCACTTTCTTCAGATATCTATGGTTATTCTCTTTTCCATTTTTCAAGAAAAAAGAATTTCTACCAGTGTAACACTGAGGTCTTCTTTGAACTTTTATTCTTTATGGTTTGCTCTAATTTAGCTATTTCCTTGAGTAGTGCACAGGAGTTTTGCAGTGTGGGTGATGATTCTTGCCTTGTATTATGGGATGCAAGAGCTGGCTGTACTCCAGTTGTCAAGGTTACATTTCTTCTTTCCACGCTTTGGTTTTGTTCTTTTCCCTTTGCACACTAGACTTTCCTAGCTATGGGTAGGTGAGCATGAAAAATTGTGGATTGAATTTACTTGATTGGCAAAGTAACAGTCAGAAAACATCCTGCTGTGCATTGTCAATGCATGAACAACAAGTGTGGTTTCTATCACACTGGGATATCATTGTTTATGTGTATGGTAACGTAGCATGGGTAGGAAGCCAATGTGACTTCGATTCCCTGCAATTTTGTTTTTGGTAAACAGAGCTGAATATATCATCCTTCATGTAACAATTTTGCATTCCTAGTTGATTTATTTATGAGAGTTTTGTTGTTTTTTGGCAGGTTGAGAAAGCTCACAATGCTGATCTTCATTGTGTTGATTGGAATCCTCATGATGTGAATCTCATTCTGACAGGGTACTTGTATAATCTATCCTCATGTTTTTTCTTTCTCATGAGACTGACAGTATCAAATCTGTATTGATGCTTCTGCCCATAGTTTGGGTTAAAATTACATTTATTTATTTATTTCCTTTCCTTCTCATTTCTTTGTACCTGTATTTCACTTGTGATGAACTTTGGCCTGTGTCTTGGATCATGTTGCCCTTACTTTAGGTCTGCTGATAATTCTGTTCACATGTTTGATCGTCGGAACCTCAATCTTGGAGGGGTAGGAGCACCTGTTCACAAGTTTGAGGGTCATAATGCTGCGGTCCTCTGTGTACAGGTCTGAAAATTATTCTGTCTCTTGGCTCAATTTCTCATTGTTTCTATCTATCTCATTTCAAACTTTATTTATTTTTGGTTATTTCTAACAAAGCAATTGTTTCCAGTGGTCTCCAGATAAATCGTCTGTCTTTGGCACTTCTGCAGAGGATGGCATTCTAAATATATGGGATTACGAAAAGGTTTCAAGGCTATACTTTGGTCTTTCTCTGTGTGTGTGTTTCTACAAAAAACCATAAAATAAGGTGGTTTGATCTTTCTGTGTGTGAGTGTGTGTTTCTACAGAAACCATAAAATAAGGTGGAAAAAAACAACACCATGAGGGAAAACTCAATCAAATGTACAAGGGATGATCTGTGAAATTGTTTGGCTAGGTGTATTTTCTGCCAATGGGTTAAAAAATGACGCTGTTCCATTTATGGGATTGGTCACAATTAATGGATTGGGATGTTATGACAGTGAAGATGATGGTACTGTTAGAATTGTTTAAAGTGGCACTTTTCTGCTAAATTCTTGAGTTTGAGGAGGTCTTTAGGGAATACGTTGTTTTGTGTGCTAAGTTATTATTTAGAAGCTGTTCCTGTTACTTTGAAGTGACAAGATTGAGGATAGGACTCATTTCTAGGGCTATGTATTTTTTTTAAAAAAAAAACAGAGTTCCACTGTTCACAAAATGCATTAACATTTGTACCACATTATAGGATAATATTGAGGCCTTTTAAATGTTTCATCAGAGCAAGTAGACTGGAGTATGACATGCTCAAATTAATTTTTTCTATTGTCATGTTAGCATTCTAGAATGTATAAATGCCAGCACATCCATGACTATCTGCTTTATTAGATTGGTGTGTTTCCTCCCTACTGCACCTCCTGAAACTGGTTTGGGGCCTTGATGTTTAGCCCTGTAATTTTTTAATTTTGATTATCTTTTTGAACTTGCATGTTTCTAACGAAGTTCATTTTTTTTTTCAAGATTGGTAAAAAACAAGACTTTACTGGGCTGAAAGTGCCAACTGCTCCTCCTGGATTATTTTTCCGGCATGCTGGCCATCGGTATGAAGCCTATCCTGCGTTTCTATTTGTATTTTTTTGTGCTTTTCCATGCATGGAAATTGCAATAATTACTCAAAGTTGAACTTTTATGCTTATTCAATTTGAGGATGATCCTTAGAACAATTATTTTTTTATGCTTATGGATCTATTTGAAGCCTGGGGATTGATGATTTTGCCTCCGAAATGCTTCCTTTAATGAGGTTTTCACAGAGTAATTGCTAGACTATGTACTTGTGTAGGGATAAGGTTGTTGACTTCCACTGGAATGCATCCGATCCATGGACAATTGTCAGTGTGTCTGACGATGGTGAAAGTACAGGAGGAGGTGGCACTCTACAGGTGAGGATTTTCTTGATATTATAATGTCTTTACTGTAATTCGTGTCGGTGGTTTTAAGTCAGTCCATGTCATGTTTCTCTAGTGAGATTAGTAGCAATGCTGTATAAATGGAGTCTAGCAGCAGCTAGCTACTTGCTTTCTGCAAAACTTCTTTATCAAAAACAGCTTTTTCTACAAGATAAAAACAATGAAATCAGATTGAAGAATGTACACCTTGCACGGGTGGAGAGAGACCCAATTGAATGCTGTGGTGTGCATTAACTGAGACATTTTAATTTTGATGCAGATATGGCGAATGATTGATTTGATTCACAGGGCCGAGGAGGATGTCTTGGTTGAGCTTGAGAATTTCAAATCTCACATCCTCGCATGTGAAAGAAGTCAGGGCTCCTAGTTTTTTCCCTTTTCTGTTTTTCCTGAACAGTGTTAATCAAAGACTCGTATTAACATAGCCCCTCCTTCGCCCTCGTCTTGGTTAGTGTATTCATTTACTGGGAGATCTCCTGGAGAACTTCAGATGTTTTTGAAGGTGGACATTGGCTATTGTACAAGTCATTAACTAGCACCTTTGTGCAGGCTCTTTTGTGTTTGGTTTAATGGGATGCGAAGGCCAGAAAGAAGCCCCGCTCTAGGACCAGGTTTTTTTTTTGTTTCAATGATTAAAGGAGATTTTGGAACTGCTCGTTTATACTACAGTAGCGTTGTCGGCTTGCACAATGATGAGATTAGATGCTTGTAATTTCCAAACTTTGTATTTTGATAATTAATTTTCATTTTTATCATATTTCTGAACTTGAAATAATTAGAAACTTCAATTATAAAAAGCATAACTAAATCTACAAAGTGCTGCGAGTCTTTTTACTTGGTGTGTTTGTTTTGGTGGGGGGTTATGATTGTTTTTTAAAATATTTTTTATTTAAAAAAATATATTACTTATATTTTTTATTTTTAAAAAATTATTTTTAAAATTAGTATATTAAAATAATTTAAAAATATATTAATTTTAATAAAAATATTTAATTTTTAAAAAAATATTTTTTAAATCCAGTGGTAAATGTTGATTTAATTAATAAAATTTATTTTTAGGTTGGTAATAAGGATATAAAAATTTATTCTTAGAATGTTTTGTTTTCGCTCTCATGATTTTAAGGTAAAAACAAGTTAAAGTTTAAGTTCTTAGATCGAAAGAGTCTACCATCAATTTTTTAATCGTCAGAGGTGCTCAAAAATTATTTCAGAAAATGACAGGTTATCTGTTACGTTTTTTATTTTTAAGATCCAGCATTTGGGCTAATCTTTTCATTGAGCAAGTCGACAACGCAACTAAAGTCTAGATTGGCTTAGGACACCCTTTACCCTTCCTCTTTTTTATGATATTAATTTTAATTTAATTGCTTTACTTTTTTAACATTTTAAAATAAAAATATTTTGAAATAAAATAATTACCATGACATTTTAATAACCATTTAATAATATTATAATTTTAAAAAAATAAAATCATAATTTCTTATAGTAATAGTAGTTAGATGATCCCACAGGCTGGACTATATTTTTTTCTAAATGTAAAAATATCTCCACGTGAAACTTGGGATTTAAAAAAATTAAAAAATTATGTTATTGAGTTGATTCGGTTAATAATCTCAACTAATTTAATAATACTTAAAAAAATATAATGATAATAAATAAATTGAATTAATAAAAAAAATTACTATTCAGAATATAAAAAAAGATGATAATAAAAAAAGATTTTAGTTGATCCATCAAATTTGTGATTAAAAACATGATACTAAGATAATTTCAGAAAAAAAAATAGAGATTAGTTTATAACCAATCCAATGTTGGAAAACAAAATTTAAAAAAAATACACTAAAAAATAAAAGGAAATTAAAGCTAACTTTTTATACTTGTGATTCCATTTATAAGACCGACATATTTTATAGAAGAAAAATTTAGAAAAACCATAAAGCAAAATCCTCAATAAATTAAATGTCAAGGGATAAAATAAAATAAAATTAATTAAAAAACACGATCAAAGGAATGTTGACTAAATTTTTTTGTTAATTTTTTTTCAAAACTTGTTGATTTTATTTCTTAAATATTTATTTAAAAAATATAATTTTAACATTCTTACATAATAAAAAAAAAATTAGTTGATTTGAGTAACCCTTGTTAACTTACTTGAACAGTGATTAAGGATCTACTTTGTGTCAACCTTCCAGGTCTAAAAATTATGATAAAAAAATAAAGATTTAATTTCTTTGTTAGATTTTTTTATTTTATTTTTAAAAAATCTCATTTTAAAACCCATTAATTTTTTTTTGTAAATTTTTTACCAAAATAATATTATTTTTACATATTTTTAAAATAAAAAATTAGTTACCTGGGTACCCCTAGCCAACCCACCCAACTTGTGATCTGAACCTTCCTGGGGATCAACTTTCAAGCCTGGTTTAAAAACCATGATTAAAAAAATAAAGATGTAATTTTTTTTTAATTTTTAAAATCCATTAAATATTTTTCTAGGTCAAGGTGATCTGGATAACCTTGACCAATTTACTCGATTTATGACCTAAGACATACTCAAGATCGATTCATAGGCTAAGTTTAAAAATTAAAATTGAAAAAATAAGAATCAAATGTGGTATTAAAATCAAATAATGAAGGGTGAATTTGGTAAAAAGGTTCAATGATAAAAATAAATAAAACCAAAAAAAATTATAATGAAAAAAATGAAAATCAAATTAAAAAAATCACGTATGAAATTGAAAAGAAAATCAATTAGAAGAAGGGTGAAAACAAAATAAATATAAATTAAAAAATATTAAAATAATTTAAAGCAAATATAGAATAATAAAAACTATAAGGACCACAATTGAAATAATATAAAAGTTATGGTATTTGTGAATTTTGGGTGGGTGTAGGACAGAGAAAAAGAAATCCAACTAATGTCTAATAGCGGTCCTTATAACAACATGTACTGGTCAGGAAGAAGCGATGCTGCTCAAATGGCACAGACAACTTATATACACAAATGTATTCTTTATCATGTGCCAATAATTTTTTGTTGGTTTTTTATAAATACTAAAACACTTTTAATGCTACACAAAATTTACAAAAAAACTAGAGTTCAAAACATGCCAATATCCTTAAAGATAAAAACATTCGTTTTAAAAAGGGATGTTATTTTGATAATTTTATTGTGATCCAGGAAAAAAAAAACTAAAAAAACCCTTCTCCTAAAACAAATTGAAATTTTGCTTTCAATGGAATCTAGGATTTTATACTATGCAATAAATAGAGTAAAAAACATGTATACCCCTCATCAATTCTATGATATTATATATATTCTGTGTAAAAGTTCAAAAATACCTCTAAAGCCAGATTTTATATTTTTCTTTTTCAAGGATAATTTAGTAAATTCACTGTGTGAATTCATTGTGAATTATGAAAATGATTACAGTTTACTGAGTTCTTTTAGTATTTTGTTAATTAGAAATTTTCTTATAAGTTATTAATTTATGAATATTTTGAAATAGTGGAATTTATTGTAAGAAATACTTGAAAAAATCACTCGTTTAATATCTTTTATTGCGTGTAATATTTAATGGGTGCTTTATTTTTTTTGCCTCCACTGCTTATAATAACTTTCATGAACTTAAATTCTTTTTACTTTCTTTGCTGAATGGCTTCCAGGTTAATTAGAATATTTTCATTGTTTTTTTTTATTTTTTTTAAATTAATTATATATATTTTTTCTTTTTAGACTTGACATATTTATCTTTTTACACTTACCCTCATTATCGTACTTTTTTGTTGTTATCTTTATTCCTCTATATTTTTTTAGTTTTTTTTTCTCTTTATATTTTTTTAAATAAAAATATTATTTTTTATTTTTTATTTTTGAAATATTTATCCCTCTAAACTTGATATATTTATATCATTTTTTTTATTTATATCCTTGTTCATTTGTAATTTGTAATTTTTACATTTTTTCTTCTGAAAAATTATAATACAAAGATTAAAAAAAAGAGGTTTGATTGTAGCATTGTAATATTATTTTATTTTTTTATTATATTAAAAATTAATTTAAAATTTTTCACGTTTTTATTAATACTTATGATATTTATATGCAAATATCAATATTTTAACTCATAATTATTTTTTGACCCGATAAAAAAATATTAATAAAACATATATATTTATCATTTTATGTTAAATGAAAAAATACTTGATTCTCAGTGACAAGAGGTGAATAAATACATTAACATATTTATTTTATATTTATTAATATAAATAATTCTTGATTTATTTAATTAAATATATATATATATATATATATATATATAAACTTTTTTATGTGCAATTAAGATTTTTATTTTGTAAGAAAGTAATTAGAAAAATTTATATATTTATTTTTTATATAAAAAATAATTTGACTCGTGATAAAAAAGTTAAATAACGGCACACTTTTATATTAAAACAATTGGGAATCATTATGGAGCCCCCCTCCCTTTTTTCTTTTTAATTCAACCTCTTATTTTTTTATTTTCTTTTATTTTTTTAATTTTATTTTCAATTTTTTTAACAGTCATTTAAATTTTTTTAAAAATGATTAAGTTAATTAAATTATATTAATTTTTTATATATAGTTTAATTTTAAACCATGACTAAGTAAGCAGCCAGGTGAAAATTTTTTTTCTTGTTAATTATATTTGTTTTTTTTATTAATTAACTAAATTATCTTTGAACATTTTAAGTTAAATATATTATATAAGGATAACTTTCAAAAAATTTATTTTTAAACATGAGCTACAAGCAGGATAAAATAATTTTTTATCATATTAATTTTTTATTTTTTTTTCTTGAATTTATTTTATTAATTGGCTATTGATTGGCTAGATATTTTTGAATTAATCAAGTCAATTAATTATAGAAAATGTTTTATATAATTTAATTTAAAACATATATTAAATAGAGTAAAAAACGAAAAAACCTCATTTTTGTTTTTTCGTTTTAATTATAGAAAAAACGAAAAATCAAATCAATTAATTATAGAAAAAATTATTTGTCAAATTTTATATAATTTAATTTAAAACATATATTAAATAGAGTAAAAATAGAGTATGAATTGCATGTAGTGCTGGCCTATATATATATATATATATATGCGCGCAAAAGTAAGACGAAAAAACCAAGAAAGCCCTCTTCTTTGTTCTTTATTACTATTACTGCGGGGGGAGTCTCCTCGCCACTGTAAAAAACCTCTATCGTCTTTCTTTCTCCCTTTATTTCCTCTCCTCTATCAAGAACAGTAACCTCTTTCTCAAGAAGAAGATGGAGAAGATGGGTGGTCGGATCTCTGCAACTCTCATCTTGGCTTTCCTCTTCATCTCCTCCGCACACTCTTTCTACTTGCCTGGTGTGGCTCCTCGTGACTTTCAAAAGGTTCGTTTATCTGTTTTCCTCTTTCTTATTCATTAGTTACATCTCTGGTTTTCTTCTAGTCATAACGGAACTGGATCTACGCTAACCCTTTTTTATTTCGTGTTTGATCTAACCCTTTTTTATGCTTTTTTTTTTTATCCTTTTCCCTTTTGGGTTCTTCTAGATCTGTCCCAGTTTTCTCATTTTGGGGTCAAATCCTAGGTTTGTTTTGTGTTTTGCTTATCGAGGCTTAGGATACGAGGGGTTATTTTGATTTGCTGTTTTCAAAGTTTTCATTTGAGATGATTAAGAGAATTTACGCAAAACGATGAATATATGGATATTTTAAGTGGTGTGAATGTGAA